TCTAAGGATTAAAAGGTCCCTACCCCTATCGATGCTCCAAACATTTCCTCTTGAACGCGTTCTGAAAAACATTCAAAATATATCCCTCACTTAATTTCCGACTTGCCATGAGACTGAATTACAGAATCTAAAATCCAAATTTTCATCTTTGCTGCTGAGCAAAATATTTTACTAGTACCGTCTCGCTTCTAATTTTCTCGCCTACTCCACTCATCGTGTTTGGAGTAATTGCCTTGAAACATTTGAATCCCGGTTGTCCACCATTTTGTGATCGGCAATCATCTTGCGCGTTGCATAGTCAAAGGAGTGGAGTAAAATTACAGGGCCTGATGAATGTAACCCCGTTCTGACGGTTTTGCTCACTCTGACATGAAGTTTGCCAGAGCAAAGGCAGAATACGTGCGGAAGCCAACTAAGCCCTTTGCCAAGAACTGCTACTGGGATTGCCTGAACGACTCAGAGGCAAATGCAATCCGAACCCTGTGAAAATGCGAATGGAATGGAAGCCAGTAAATAGAACATCGAGTATCGTGTCAAATGTCGGGGCCTTGCCACGTAGCTGCTAGCATATGCTCCCTTCCCCAAAAAGGGTTGGCCAAACATGAGCACACGGAGCCATAGCCCAGTTCGGGTGGTCACTGGTCTGCTATTTTTCTCACCACTGATTTCTACTTCTGCAAGTTTTTTTGTCATTCAGATAGGGTGGTCACGTTTCTTGCGTAAATTACCCAATAGAAATAATCGTACATGTAAACTACTTCCGTTATTGACTTTCTGAGGACTGGGATGAAATGAGCCACCTGCTACATCATCAGCCGTTGGTTCCGTTGGACCGGCGAAATGGTGAGATTAAAGGTGTGGGTTTAAAAAGATGACCCAGTCCATCCTAGCCCTCCGAAATTAAATAACGGGGAGTGGTTTGCCTGTTTATACAGAATGATTCACGCAAGAAACGTAACCGCGTCATCTGCATTGCAAAAACTTGCAACGTTATTAATTACTTGCGATAAAAAATAGAAGGCGAATGACCCCTGGGATTGGGATATAGAACAGTTCATTTCATTTCGGCCTGGGCCTTGGGACGGGTACATGTGGTTGCGGGGAGCGTAGTAATTTTTCCTAGAATGCTTACGTTCTTGGGGGCAATATTAAACCTTTTCGCCGTCGGTATTATGTTGTCTACGACGTGCACAATCGTGTTCATTCCTAAGAGAATTTGCTGACATTTTCGCCATCGTCGGCTTTTACCTGAAGGACTAGCTGTTTGAGCACGGAACAAACCAACCGGACGCTTTAAAAACAAAAAAATTGTAACCGTGGATGACGATTCTAACGCAAAACAATAGACAACTTTCTCATTAGTTAAGATTCGAAAATTCATTGTTCGGATGTGTACATTGTTCGGGTGCATTATACCAAAGGGAAAGGCATCAAACACACCGGCCATATTCAAAGACCTCTTATTGAAAGTTTTTCTAATGTATGGGCATTCATCTTCGTCCGTTTTTAAACAGACCGACTGTTTAACCTTCGAAAATGTTAAGACAAGTATAATAAATAAACTAGCAACGCAGCAGCCTCGCCCAATGGTTTCAGGCTCATGAAATCCAGGAAGATTGGAAAGAGGCCAAGGCACGGTGTCTAAAAGGTGCATAAATCGCTAATACCTTTTGTGAATGACCTGGTCTTCAGTTTCCCAAGAAATGGTTTTCAAGGAAATAAGATAAGCTTTGAGCGTGAACGTGCCAAAAAGAACACAGCAAAAAAGATTTGTTTGAGCTTGACCTGCAGTCCTGATTAGGAATGAAAACTACGGTCATTCGGCAGAATTGTGATACGCAATCACAGTCTGCTCTGAGTTCTTTGGTAAACTGCCGAATTTTGCTGTGAAGTCGATCGGTAAGTTTTAAATGCAGCAGTTCAGACGAAGTATATGGCCGTCAAGCGGAAATTTTAAGAAGCTATCCTAGTTTCATCATCCCCTTCGCATTCTTTCTAGAAAAACTCCTATGAAACAACAAATTCGTAGTTACTCAACATCCTTAAATTACGTCGTCTACCAGTACTTCTCATGCTTTCTTTATTCGGTCTGCATGCTTGCTTGAGGCCCGACTTTTAAAGGCTCATAACTTCTTATAGCGAAAGGTTTAGACCCCACTTGCAATATGAGCCGTATTATGCATGACGATTTTATGACGAGGTACCTGGCCACCTGTCTGACCAGAACTGAAAGTCATCGTTCTTTCTATCCGGCCTTTTGTTTATTTCGATCCTTCGAACGCTTGGAAGCATCTGTAATTGCCCGTGGGGAAGGTTGTTCAACTTGACGACTGAGTCAAAACTAGGGCTCTTCGCCCGAGGTACTGCGTTTGACTGGACTTCTGACTGAGTACCGTGCGACTTGCAGATAATTAGAATAAATTACGAATCTGTCTGGCCATAAATTCTTGAAATGCCGAAGTAACGCATATTATAATGGAAGTTCATATTTAAAATCTGCCAAAATACCTCAGAATTACGTGCGCCTGGCAGTCATCTGGTCGAGTCAAGGTGAATTACTTAGGAAATCCTGCTTGGGCAGTCGTATCACATTTGGTGGATTCCAGACATTGCAGTAGGTTAGACGGGTAAACTTGATTCAAATGTAATTAAACTCGCATCGTGGGGTGGGACCTCGTAGCTCAGATGGTTAGAGCGTTGGCTGTACTAAAGCCTCCCCTTGCTGTCGTGGGTTTGAATCCCACAGAGGCGCCGAAATTTTCACAGAAGGGTCAAAGTGAATTTTTTGAAATCCGCCAAAATACGTCTGAATAATGGAAGAAATGTCGTATAGTAGTCACGTTCACTTATTCGCCCTCATTGCAAGAGGGGGTATGGGGGATTTTTATATCACTCCAGATATTCCCGAATATTGCCCACAGGCGCGATCTCCAGACTGCGGTAGGTCGTCTAAGTTAAGGCTTAGAGATCATAACACCTGATTGACTGTAGACGGCAAGTGAACCGAAAATGACCATATACATATTTCGGTAGTGCTTTTCTGTCTATATTACGCCCAGCCCTTCGGCTGCTAGCGGAACTAATGAGAGGTTCCCAAAACACAATAATACAAGCCAGTTATGTAACGCGATCGGTGGGCTTCCCTTTACCAAGTTGCATATGTCTCCTGTGGACTTTTCAAAAGCACTTAGTTTTCCTATCTCTGTGCCATCAGATTATTTTTGCAGATAAAGTAAAAATATTTTTTAACCTTTAAGGCCGGCAAATTCTTATCTCGAAGTCGGTTACTGAGGTTGGAGATTTTAAGTACAATCCGAAGGGCTCTTTTATCAAAATGCACGTCTGATCTTGTACAACATGCATTTTTAAAAATAATTTGTTTTGTGTGAAAGTGTTATGTCCACTGTTACATGATAAAATGTGCATTAAAATACAGAAGGAATGCTTATGTCCGCGAACTTATTCTGCTAGAATTTTGCCATGTTATGGTTTTATTTTGCGTTGTATTTTTTACAAGTTTTGGGCAAATCGTCACGCGAGCATTTTTCAGGATTTTCGGACCTAACTCAGCATTTCGGTATCAAGCGCACATCCTGTTCCCTGTGCACCCTGTCAGAGTAAAATTATTAATCGCGGAGAACACAGTTTGATTTTTTTCTACCCATCCCATTTATCATTTACATCAGCAAAAAGGCCTGCGGTGGGAGTCTACGCAGAATGACATTACCGGCAAAGACAAGAGAAACTGCAATGAACAGTTCTGGCCACCAACCAATCATACCCAACCCCGAGGTGGGACGCACCTGGAGCTCGATCCCGTGACCTGTTGGTTGGAAATCCAACAGTCGCGGCGTCCTGTGGGTTCCCCATCGGGCAGATTTACAATGGTAGACGGGGACGTTTACCGGTCGCACTACGGGACGCACTGCATCTCCATGAACAGCCGCTCAGCGGCTAGTACTATAGACAGAATGACATTACGGGCTAAGAGATGGAAGACCGAGAGGTTAGAGGATACAAGGTAGCCCTCCCAGTACGCTAAACTCCCAGCTGCCTGTCTTACGGGACCGGTGGTAATAGGGGCTATACGGGTGGGGCCTGTGAGTGGAGGCAAAAATGGGGCAAGCAGTGCACTTCTAAAAATGAAGCCTCAAGGATAGTGGAAGCCTGATTTAACTAAGATGAAAAATGCAGGGAAGGTTTGGAAATGGGCACGGATAAATAAAACGGTATGCGGAATAAATGCAGCCTTGCCCTGGATAGGAAAGAATGACAAAGGAAAGTAAACAACCAATAGGAAGAAGGAAATGTGTACTAAGGCCATTCCGCGAATGTGTGATATTACGATAACCGTCGAAATGAATACAGGAGCACATGAGTCAAGCTGCGACCCACACGACGGAAAAACGCAAGTGGAGTGAGTATTTAATGTGAAAAAATATCTTTGGTTGGATGAGCAACCTTGAAAGTAATAGTTTAGTGTCACTGTGGTAAAGTATGGGGAATAAAACTGTGGCTGTAGTTGTGTGCTCTACGTGAACGGTATAGAATGAAATGTAAACGGGAATTAGCACTTTTGTAAATAAAGTTCCGCTTTGGGCTGTCTTGCAGAGCCCAGTCTGGTAGAAGGCGAAGAAAAGCACGACCACAGGTGGATATGCCGACGGAGTATCCACGGATCCTTGAAATAATTCAATCACCCTACCTAGTGCAATATCTCGAACGGAAAGGACTCCTGACCCGTAGGGTCTTATGTAGGTGCCGGAAGGCCATGCCGTTACAAGTATTGCGACAACACACGGATGGTTATGCCTTCAGGTAAGGTCTGTTTACTGTGGTATACAGACCGTAGATGCGCCCGATGTGGAGATAAGAGAGCCCTGAGAGTGGGCTCAGTGTTTGACGGGAGGCACCTGACACTGCCTAAAGCGATGAAAACGTGCCTTTCTTTCATTGAAGGCACTGGGGTGATTATATATGCAGCCATAGTAGGAATAACTATGAAGACCGCAGTTGACTGGTACGGTATATGGCGAGACGTATGCACAAAGGCCCTCCTACAAGAAGTAGGTCAACTCGGTGGGCCCGACATCGAAGTCCAAGTCGACGAAACGATGATTTCGCGACGCAAATACAATGTGGGGCGACTGAAGAAGCAGAATTGGATTATGGGTAAGTGAACAGTGCATTGTCACTTCATTTTAGGCATGTATGATTCGGCCAATAAGAAAGCCCTATTCGAGCAAGTAAATGATAGCAGCTGGCCGTCCCTAAGGGCTGTCATAAGGAAGTGGATTGCGCCAGGCAGCGTGATAGTCACTGATGAATGGAAAGGATATGCACGTTTGACGGATGAAGGATATCGACATTTAACGGTCAATCATTCCGTTAATTTTGTCGACACTATCAGTCGAAAGAACACGAACGCTATCGAAGCCTACTGGAGTAGGCTGAAAGAAAAATAACGTGAGCACGGTCCCATCCGGGGAAGGAACATCTGGGTTCATGTAGACGAAGCCCAGTACCGCCTCTGGTATGGCCTCAAGGCAGGCAATTTGTCCCAAGCATGGGAATTGTTCTTAAAGCATATAGCCGACGCTTACCCGGTTGGTGACCGTACTTGTTCAGCGGAAGACGGAGCGCAGCTGACGCAAAGGTAAGCGTCGGCCACTGATGACATAACACATTATATTAGTTAAATGCAGACGCACGAAGTGTCACCGCAACACAAAACCTAAACGATGAGCAACCCAGAAGGAAGCACGCAATCAAGAGAACCCAACGGAAGCGAAATGATATGACAGCCCTTTTTGTGTCAATAGTGAATGCATCTGTATTTTGATTACTGGCCTACCCTCATAAACCATGGTCAATGGACTAGGCTGCGGCGACAAAGTGCGAAAAACTTGATGACGCAGTAGCCAAATAGGTGGACCGCCTGCCTCGCTGCTAACGGACTAAACGAAACACCTGAAGTGAGGGATCGGAAGAGGAGTTCACTTGACAGGGAAAACCGCATGCTAACCCTGCACACGCATTTGAGGCAGTGCGCGCACGCAACTGACAAGGCGGTTGAAGTGAAGAAGAAAGTCATCCTGACTGGGCGTCTGCGTATTCACCCCCGGACATAATGCCAACCGCAATAAAGCTATAGATAGTAGGTACCGGTAAGGCAGTGCTCGCATGCAACTGGAATCATAAGAAGCACGGTAAATCGCAATCCGCCTGGAATAAAACTGTTGCCTTTTACTAAGGATTTCCGTGTGGGGGGTGCAATACAATGAATCTATATGGACATTCTTGCAGCACCACGTTCGCGGGGTGGTTGAAGTTACGAAGGAAGTCAACCATGACAGGGCCTCTGCGCGTTCACCAGAAGGAAGTCATCCTGACAAGTCGATCTGCGCGTTCACTATAACACATGATGAGGACGTAAGCACGGCTAGGCATGCAATTTGAGCCATAATGGGAAGCATCATCAATCGTAATCCGCCTAGAATAAGCCCCTCGCCTTTTACTAAAGATTTCCGTGTGGGGGGGGTGCAATACAATGAATCTATATAGACATTCTTGCAGCACCACGTTCTCGGGGCGGTTGAAGTTACGAAGGAAGTCATCCTGACAGGGCCTCTGCGCGTTCACCTTTAACACACAATGGGGACGTAATCACGGCTACTGAAATCAAGCCAGTAGCTACAATTGTAGAAACCGGGCGCAAGGCTACCAACTACCCTCCTACCGACTGAGATGTCCATTGCTGGTTTATAAGATGTCATCAGCCAACCATATTCACCCCAAGTTTTGCAAGCCCTGAGGCTTGAACCTCAGACCTGCTTGTTTAAAGTTAAACGTCTTAACCTCTAGGTGTTTGTTTCGATCGTCTATTTTCCGTGCTTATTCAACAACAGGGCATTTAAGACGGGTTAGAATGCCAATTTGCCTCTTAGTCCATTTTCATGTATTCATGAAAACACTATGATAAAATCTCTTCGCGGAACATACCCAATCCTTCACCTAATAAGTGTATCGTAACCTATGAATCACCCATGAGTTGGTAGTCAGAAGAAGTTAAGATCATGATCCCGTTCCAGGTAGTTTGCATATAACACCAAGGGCGAATCATGCGATTCCGAGGAATGCCTGTCTGTACAGACTGTCCCACTCTGTGATCATCAGATATCATGCATCTGCAAACGCATAACATGGAGTGAAATTAATTACAATTATTATTCGCGTAAGTTAAGGGTCAATTTAAATGACTTCCACGAAGTCTGAGGCCACATTTTCCTTTCACCCGTCGCAAGCATTTCGCTAGACAGCGGATACTGTGTGAATTCTAACTATACCCATGACACGCGGAGTTTTGCTCTCCAAACGTAGGCTTCCTGAATAAAACAGATCAGAGTACCGTTATTTAAGTTCGTCTGGCTTAGGCTCTATGTTGGAGAGCAAAACTCGACGTGTCATTGCGCGACGATTCATAATCCTTCAACTTCTGTCGTCACAATTTACTACACTAATTTTAACTCGTCTTATATTGCTCCTCTACAAATACAGTCTGATTAATTCCGGCCGTTTGGCCAGCTTAAGGTTTCCTGTATTTCATCTTTATTTCTTTTATGTGCGGCATGTAACCAATAAAATTCCGCTATAAATATCTGGATTTGGTTTCTCCCATTTTCCAGAATATACGAGCATTACCGAAGCCTGACCGTTTTGTCTCCGAGTCGGATATACAAAACTGTGAGCGTGCGCTAAGTGAATAAGGCCAGTTACATTCCTTTCGGTTTTTGCACTCACAAATGGAGGTGAATACCTCCCCGAACATACTTAAGGCCTTTTTTTCAGAAGGCGGCGAGCATGACATACGAGAGGTGGAAACTTTTCAGGACAAATTTGGCTATCAACTTTAGTAGAATATGCGGCAATTTTGACCAGTGGACGAACTTTTTGCATCAGTCGGCATATGTAAATGTCGTTGTGATTTTGTCCGGCGAGATATTGCAGTCCATTAAGAAATCATTCCAATAAAGTCTACGCATGTTCAAATGCTACAAAGAATCACGGCAAGCACGGGTAGGTGATCTAGGGATGCGAGCTTATAGCACAAATTTCAGGTATAAGCGGAATGTTACCAGGGTCTACAAAATAACACCATCTTGTCATAGGCTTTGTGGAAACAGACCCTCCCAGGTTATCCTGTAAGCAAACATAAATATTTTACTTACTTTCGCAGACAGGAGGACTATTTAAAACGTTGTTGTTATTCCTTTGGATGCTTGCGTCTAAAGAAATCAGGGTAGAGAAACCATGATCAGGTAGATCGGTGAAGTTTCTGTGCGTTCAATGGTGATAGGCAGAAACCGATAAAACCCAATGAAAAATATAACACACGCTTCATCCCGCCAAAGTAAACACGCTACTGATATGGTTGAAGTGGCACCATTGCATTCGTAGGAATTACAGAGGCGGAAGTGGAACCAAGACCTCCTCAACGTGTAAAACAAGAGGTGATAATACACAACAGTACGGCTATCGTGACCGACGATGTCCACCGTGTGCACTCCAGCAGGGGAGAGCAGAGATGGTGATTTGCGGCTGATTTCTTCTTTAGTAATTGGAAATTTGTGTTCCATCTGCCGCATTCTCTCCTTTCTCGCCAGGATCCGATGCCAAGATAGAGTAAAAAAGACCGGAGGCCGAAGAGGGCGCAGGTGGCTGACACGACGAAAAAACGCACATAGGCGTACTAATACACTGTCTTGTCCACAAAGAACAATGACCAGGATTTCATACTGAGAAAAGAAAGGGCCACGGCTCGGATCTCAACTGGCGTGGCGTAAACGTGAACCTGGGCTTGCTGCCACACCCTCATTGTTGACACTCGTCACTATTTCACTCGACTACCCGCTAGATCTTGATGTCACTTCAAAACATTACCCGCCTGCAATCTAATATTGATATATTATTCGTGATATACGGCAAGAAAAGTAAAATTTCAAAAAACAGAGGTCTGGTGAATTCTGCTTACACACAAAACAGACAGTGATTACGCCTTTTCCACTCGCGTAGACTGCGATCGGCTCGTCAAGTGGCCGCCATCGGGTTGCAAAAACCAATTTTGCGCGCATAGGAGAACCACATTCAGGCTCCGCACCTACCGTGGTCGAAGGTCGACTAACTCTGCAACTCTTCGCGCCCTTCCGCTCTCACCACGGCCCTGGTATTGATTGCTTTTACCCCCCACCCCTACATTCCCACGCCCCACCTGTCTTTGAAGGCGAACTTTAATCCATTTCTCTTATCACTAACGCGTTTTTACTTACCCCGTTCACACTTAAAGGTACTGGCTTGACGAGAATTTATCGAAAGCAAATGTATGCTCGCCAACTGGTATTCTGAATAATATTTCCACTGAATAATATTGGCTGGAACATAGGAATGAGAGTTCCGACGGACCGGGGATATTAACAGTTTCATTCTTAGGTGCTCGGAGAGTACCATTCCTGCAAAGTGAGCACTTAATTAGATAGCGGAAATACGAGGAGGTACCCAGAAAACGAAAATTATTGACTGTATGCAGTTGGATTGTCATGCTGCCCTCGCCCGGCAGGTACCTTTATAAGTCCTCTTCCTGCTCGGTTGGCCAAGCAGCGTTCTTGAGAAGGCCTCGCTGTGGATAGAGTGATTGTTTTATTAAACCCCCTGCCAACGTTCTCGGCGACTTTGCGATGGCAAACCTTAAGGGAAGACGCGACAACGTCAAATCCTGCTTCCTGTCCAAGATGGCTTGTTTTTCGACACCAAAGGAGCCGATCACGTTGAAGTTGATCTTAGTGGCATCACAGTAGATCAACATTATTATCTGCGAATGCTGAAATAATTGCATAAGGCGGTGAGAAGAACGATTGGACTTGCGGCGATAGGAGGATTGACTGCTTCATCATAACGGCGCGCCAGCCCACACAGCGTTCAAAATCGACACGCTTTTGACGACAAACGGCATATAACCCTTTTTCATCCACTCCTCCCCCCAACTGCGCCCGGCCTAGCCCTTTGCGACTACTTATTCTCAACAACGAAGATAAACCTAAAAGGAAAGCGTTTTCAAAAAGAAGAAGATATTTTACAAACTTATTGGGGGAAACTTATGATCATTAGTTCAGGATAATGTAAAAAATGGTTCAAGATGGGAAGAACCATTTGAGCCAAGTACATATCATCTAATGGATGGTGTTTTGAGGGGGATTTATGTTTTAAAGATGTTATACTACGTAAAAAAATCAAATAGTCCTCGTTCCTTCGGGTAACACATCTAATGCACAACATCGACTTTGATGTCTGTTTGGGTAAACAGTTGTACAGTGGAATTTTGAAAAAGAGTTCATAAAATAGGAAAAATATTTCGGTGTCCGCCGGAGGTTTGGTATTTTATGTGCAATACTTATGGTATTAATATCAAGAAAAGTGGCGCTGTAAAAGAGGGATATACTTAGAAAATGAATTTTTGAGCAGCGGTGATTGTGAGAGCTGTCAATTACAGTGCGCATACGGTCTCACTGCAGCCACGTGCTATAAATACTGCACTCCTTGTGCCATCATCACCTTTTTCTGTGAATGTCTCTGATGATAGATTCCAGCGAGAATCCGAAACGTCGGACCAATAAATTTCTTGTTCCAATGATCGCATCGTCGTCTTCCGAACTGCCAACTGGAACTCGCCTATTCGCTTCTATCAGCAATATTCCTACTGCGAAAGTCGATGCTTATCAAAGGGGAACAGTCGAATTGCCCTTAGCAAACTACCACGGTGTCGAAAGTCAAACTATCCACTGGAAATGAAATTTACGTTGTGAATGCGCGATGGCTATACGTAACAGTTCTTCGACATAAGCGTTGACATTCGATTTCGCCATTGTACGGATGGTGACTCAGGTAGTTAATATTAGCAAAATCCGGTTTATCTTCCTATGTAACCCAGCAGCTGTCTATGGAGAATGCAAAATACCCACTGCAGGTCGCATCTTATATTACTATGCTAAAGGCAAAACAAGATTGGCTGGATGAGTATATTTATATACGGCAAATCCCTTTAAACCATCCACTACATTTGTCGCCCCTCGTTGTACACAGTGAATATGTTAATATTCTCTTTATCCAGGAGATGCAAGCTAGCCTTCCGTTTTTGACATAGGGCCCAACAAACGCCTTAAATGGCTGGTGTAAGATTTTGAGAAAGTATGCGGATACGGACCTGATCCAGCGTATTATTCGGATTTTTTCTGAACCGCTTTTTATAGTATTATGACGAAATCAGACTTTCAGTCATCCAAGAGACCATCTATTTTTTCTCTGCAGTGTATTTCTGAGGGTAACAGAAGTTCAACTGAAAGCTTTTTTATACTTCCGCAATTTATGGGCATCTATACAATGTTTCTAAAGAAATTGCCTAGAAGAAAACAACATTCACCCAGACGAGGGTATGGTTTATGGCCGGGGTTACTTACTCTGAGGAGCGACATTTACTTCTACGTACCAGATAATGAAATAAAAAGACATCGCGATGGCTGTTACTTCGATAAGATTACCGTGGCCTCTCAAACGGGCTACGTGGTAGATGCGTTGGCCGAACACGGTGGCCATATCGGATTCTGGGGGGCGTTATCAAATTGCGCACCATAACAAATGCCAACATTTCTGGCTGCGATGGCAGACCCGGTTGCCGGCGGACGTGGTGCAAACTGGCGCCCCTCCCGCCTTCCTTATTGTTGTAGTTTTGGTCAAAAACGTGGTAATCTGTTGTGTGTACCGGAACGTGTGGTGTGGAGCGCGAAGATGCGGGCCCGACCGTGCCATCCACTTGCACCCTCCCCAGAATCCGATCTTTTCGTCTGTATTGACACGGGGTCCAGGTGGGGGACGAGGAAAGAGTGAAGTAGATGCTGTGCAAGTCTACCATCACTATAAACTAATTCACGTACAAATCATCATCCTTGTTTCACTATGTTGTGGAGTACATGGCGGAAATCGTCGGAAACGACGGCCGAACTGTCGTCTGTAACACAAAACGAAAAGATTAAAGCACTTCACTATTTCATGGTAAGATTGGAGTTCTGGACCTTTTCCTCGAACCATGCTCTTTCTGCACTCATGCGGTAATCTAACTAAGAACACACGAAGTTGCCGCACACTTTCATCGAGAGTTGAAACGTCTGTTCATACCGTACGTTACCCTCAGAACTTTTTTCGCAGCCATTTTGCATTGCAATAATGGTTTAAAGTTTCTCTGTATCTAGGAACCAAAATTCTTTTGCGAACATGCCGTAGAAAGTTGTGTGTCTTTCAAGCAGTCTATGCTCATGATATTGTCCAGGTGGTAGTTGGAGGCAGATGCAGAACGGTATCTGCTTTTGAATTCAACCCAAGTTGTGTGATCAGCCAGAGTCTATGGTCACTTGAGCTTTAAATGACTTTCCAAAATCCAACCTCTGCAAAAGCCCTGGCCTTACACAGTGGAGTTCAAGAAGGATGCCATTAGCATTGCCATGATGGGGGTAAATGCATCCATGTTAAGCAATGATGGGCATTACTGCCACTGGGCCTTCCAAATCTTTCGGTCGTACAAAGTAGCTGCTGGTCCAGAGTTTCCATACGAAACAGGACCTCTTTGCTCGTCAGTTATACCTTTCATTCACCCAATAACAGTAAGGACATAAAGTACTGTCTTTCACAACATTTCACGTCGCGACCGATTTTGAGTACTAGTTAGCTGAAAGTGACTTCGATCTTCCTGAAGTCTGCTGACTTAGACCTTTAAACCCTAGAATGTTCTCGACCTTTCTCGAAGCCATTGATGTCGGCATGTGGGATAAGGTTGTCGATTTCTCCACTAATGGACGAAGCTTAGATTATCTTATTTTTTGTGAAGGCTGCTTACCTTTGTCAGTATCATCTACAGGCCCACTCGAGGGTTCTAACCACGACATTGCTGTGTCTTCATTATAGCTGACTGTATATGGCATTTCCCGTGGATGATCCATTTTTTTTCGATTTTCGACCGGCCCGTTTGAAAGAATTGTTTGCAGATCTCGGTTCTCTTGACTGGGCTGAATTCTCCTTATGATCGGGTGTAAATGGTTGCATTGTTCAAAGTTAAGATGTTTTGAAACCGCGTAACACTGGTTTTGTTCCTGTATGTGATGTCATAGGTGAGTTCTTTCTTTCTCTATCCTTTCGTTGTAGAATACGAATGTCCACCCGTGTTTTCCATCTGGTAAACGCCATTCCAATTTTGCTCTTCATTCTCACTGTTCTAAGCGAGCTAATAAACTGTCTAAAGAAAAACGGCTAGCTTCTTGTTTTTTCTTCTATTTTTATATTTATCCCCGACTCATCGTTCATACCAACCTCGACTAAAACGTTTTCATATGCAGACAACTTAAAACTCGCGTATCCTTATAATCTGCATGTAGCAGCCGGCATGCAGAGAATAATGAAGTTTCGTCCTAAAAATCTTAGTGGACGAAGTATTCAATGGCAAGTGCCATTTTCACCGACAAAATTTTATCCCCTGATTTTTTGGCCACAGAAATTTCCCAATACATTTCCATGGTCAAAAAATAAAAAGAAATCATCAATAAAAGACTTAGGTCTGATCTATAGAAGTACACTTCAATTATTCGCCCACAACAGAAAGTTTTATCGAAAGCTTGTGTGGATCGTTCTGTAAAAAGTTCATCTTAAATACACTAAAGAAACAATTTCATAAATCGCACTCTGTACATTCCCTAGACTGCTGCTCATTTTCCTTGGCATAATGCCATCATAGTGCTGAAAGAACCTAGAAGACATTCAGATACGCTTTGCTAACTTTTATTCTAAACATGATGGTCCCCTAATGGTTATACAATGAATTGCATAAAAAATATGGTTTCACGCGCCGCAATCAGTAAGCACGTTCACTAATATTGAGCTTAGACGCCTGACGGAGAAATGAAGGTCAGCTGCATAACCTACGTGTTGTAATCGAGTACACCGGGAAATGACCTACCTCCGATAGGATCATTCATGAAGGCGCTGGCAGTCACTTCGGAGAAAACAGTGCCTAGTCAACCATAATGATGTACAGCAACTAAAGGTAAATGTGGCCGGCAGTCTCAGAGCAATACAGGAGATCACCATCCCTGCCAAGGAGAGAAACGTTCTTCCGCATCTGTCACTGTGCGTCTTCTAGACATCCAATAAATTCATTGGTCTGCTGACTACCCAATTCGACTTTACACAGGTAGTTGTATGCAAATATACTTATTCACGTATCTGCCTATAATGGTTTCTGGGTGAAACGCCCTTCTGTCGTTGGATGGTGAACATCAAAAGAATTTGCCAAGAATCTCCTGACTAATCTACACGACTGCCTAGTGCCCTAGTTGCTGTTGGGGAGGATTCACCGAAAAGCGATCGTTCGTTTGCTGCCCCCTGCTCGGTGTCAAATTTTGATATTCACACTTACAGATGTTTTCTCGGCTAAGCGCCGGATTTAGGCAGTTCGTAAAACGGCCAGTGGGTGGTTTAACGAAACTAAACACATGTGCGCCGGTGGATCTGAACGTCAGGAGACTGCCAAAAAGTTAAAACAGTCGCTTTGATTTATACCTAAACTTCAGCTTCTGGGATCCACCATCCATGCCACGTTTTGCCCACCTTTGTCTCCCTCAGATGATACGTCAGTTAGGCTAAGAAGCCTACCACAATTTCTCTTTATCTAACCAATTTAATATCTGTTATTATTTTAGCAGCATTGGACTGAAATGAACATTATCGAAAGATTTAACTACTTAGGTAGTATTAAGTTATCGCCCTTATTTTAGATAGATTGTCTACTGATTATTTTTAAAACCCTAACTGAGCTAAGTGTGACCTACGACAAGTTCCTTTCGTTTGCAGGAACCTGGCGAAGCGACCAAATGGGTCCCTTTAAAGGAACAACTTCCTGGACTACTTGCTTGTACATGTGACACTTGCGAATGTCTTTACCGTGCGTTTAATATTTTGCGATTTATCGGTAAAACCTCCTGCCGCACTGAATCCTATCAAGTGTTCTATGTCGATATCATAAGTAAACTAAAAGCAAACTAGGAGTGGCGCACCACCACTGACTTTTTTCGGTGAAGGGGCTAGAGAGTGTCACATCTGCCCATGCCGCTCCATAGTCCTACCTAGTAGCCCCCATTATCCCCTCAGGGCGGGGTTAGTGCTTACAAGGCATTTACAGTTTTCACTTGTCGGTTCATTTAAGTCCAATTAACCAACAAAACACACTACTGAACGATGCAGTTGGATTTAGGAAACGAATGCTCTGGCAAATAACCAGAGACCCAACACGCTCATCGCAGGTGATTATACCTTCGGCCAAAATCAACATTCCCATGGTCCAAGGCAGGCAGAATATACTTGAGCCCAAAACGGCTTAGCACGTAACACTAGACCTTACAATAAATAGAACACAAAAGTGCATGAAGTCAGTGGAAACCGGAATGGATAAGTTAATTTTAAGGCTCTTTGCTCTGACGACCCTCTGCGAGAAGACGTTCCGTCGGACGTATTTATGAAAGGACTTCTCTGCAGTTTAAAAGAATGACCAAACATATGGTCCGTCTCGACCAGTTTGAAGAAATCATCAGATTGTCTGTAACTGATAGGGAAAATTATAATCAGCCAGTCTGGCATCGTCAGGCAGCCGATAAAGATTCTTCTCCATCTTCGTAGCACTCGCCTGAACTCGCTCCAGCTGCTAATAACCCTTCCGAAACCATGGACGCCAAGCCTAAAAGCCTACTTCAGGCGAGACCAAATAATTTTTTGGTAATTTTTTTGAACATCTTCTAATCAATTTGCACATATCCTCCTATCAGTGATATTAACACCCGTGTTGCGCGTTCAGCTGCATCTAGGCACTGTGGCGATGATTTTCCCAGTTCTTTTACACCACATTCTGGTCGATTTTATCCACCTTTTGCGTAGCTTATTTTCTCAACAAATGGCTTCTTTTTATGCATCCTTTTGACGCTGTTCTTCTTTTGCAAATGCGCCATACGCAGACTATTCTATTTCTGCCAAACGCCTTGTGGCCCCAACTGAACTTTAAACATGTACCCATCTGTGTAAAAATATTAGAAAAGCAAAAGGTCAACAAATGCCCTGCTAAATTAAGAAGTCAGCCTAGATTTCCTTCGTCTTTCGACGGCTTATTTTACTGCGCTGGAATTCAAGTAAAAGAAAGGAATATCCCGCTTTCTGGTTGTCGGCGTTCGTTCGCCACTCCACTGCACCCTGTCACTTCGGGTAGTAACGAAATCGTAGCTCTTTACTGATATAGATACGTCATGTTTTTAATATGTGGTGATATTCTAGTGGGAAGGCAAGTCGTATACATATGGGACAATTTTCCGCGTGCGCGGTAGCAGCAAGTTTAGTATATTTGAGGAAAACGTAGGTGTTGAACTCTTGAACTCGCTGTTTTTTACAAGGAAGCGAGTTATATCAAAAAACGAAAACATCAAACAGCTACGGAAACTTTTTCTTAACCGGACAGATGGACAAATTGTTCAAGTGTTAAATGAATAAACATTGTAGCGTCTAATAGTCAGTCTGTGCACAATTGCACCTTAGAATTCCAATATCTGTGTGCCATGTATTGAGAAATAAAAACTCATTTTGTCGGTAGACCTCAGGGGACAGCTTGTGTCTTGAGGGTTTCAGCCAAAAATGGCAGCATTGTTCCCCGTATCTACGTTTGCGCAGGCAGATTTCTCTACATTTTGAAAGTCCTGCTACTCCTTGGGTGGAACATTAGGCCTGTGTAGAGATACGCAGATTCCCTCAGTTCGCCCTTATTTCGCTCCGCTTTCCCGGCTGTTCCTCGTCCGGACGCTACTAAGCGTTAATCTGGCGCTGGCTTTCGCACGATACCCATTCGACATCTTGCGGAGTATCCTCTGTCACTATCTACAAGATCTTTACCCAATATTTCCTGCTCAACTTTATGACTTTTGTCCATCATGCGACATTTGTTCTTTCGGTTTTTAGTGGTTATTGAGATCTTTATTTCTCCGGGCTTCTTGTACTTCTCTGCTATGCAGCCCTTGCACAACGCGTCACTTCTCGACTTTCGCTCATACTTTTTTACGTGATCTCTAGCCGTCTGTTGACTTTTGCACCTCCTATTGTCTAATCAACGTTAGCTGAATTTTTCGACTTGCCTCTGTTGTCCTAGAATACACATCCCCACGTAGACACCACAACCGCTGTCTCCAAATCCTGACCGAATTGACATTAGGAACTTACTAAATTTACCCTCTGCAAACGATAATCTGACCTTTTCTATCGGTTCTACTGCGACCTTTACCCTCATGGGGTCAAAATGTGCATCCCACTGTCTTGTTATTTTCGTCGTTTTCATTGTTTTGCAGAATATCAAACACTTATCAACTCAAGCCGTTTTTTGCTCTTTTTAGGTCGGAGGGACCTGGCGCCGCACCTGGGATTTCTTTGACCACTTCTAAGAACATAGTTTCGCATTGTTGTCCAAACTTAACTAAGTTTACTTTACAATGGTATCAAATTCCTACATTAAATCCGCCAGTCTCTGCATCTTGGCCGTGCAAAATGTCTTACACACTATTGCGATGCGTTGTTCCCGGCAAGGCGGTCGGGAGCCTTTTATGACCTCATCCGCCCTCATTATGGGAGAAGCATTTAAAGTCATAATATCGACCATCATGTTAATTTATGAAAAGAATCTAGAACGAGCGATTTATTCCCCCATCCGCGACCCCATCGATTTCATCCGGACAGCTGTTCCAGCGATTGTCTACGTCTTTCAAAATAACCTCTTGTTTTTCGCTCTGAGTTGTCTTGATGCCACTGTCTTTCAGGTACCCTGGTGCTTTTTGTTCAATAACTTAAGTTCTTTGTAGATAACTTACCAAATCAAATTGCTCACTACTGCTCTCTTCTCCGTCTTTTTCTTGGGCAAGTCAGTTAGTCGCCCACAGTGGGCGTCTTTAGTCCTTCTTTTTGCTGGCGTTGCCATTGTTCAGGCCACTGAACACTCCTCCAATCGCCCTCAGTCCTCGTCATCATCAACTGCACTTGTACCTGGCCTCCTTGCTGTGCTAGCGGCATCATTTCTGTCTGGCTTTGCTGCCGTCTACTTCGAAAAGGTATATCGAACATCTTCAACATTCTCTTATATGCGCTTACCATCCAGCGTAGTTAGTACATAACTACTTATGACATGTTTCTCAACAAAAGAATGAAAATTGGGGTTAATAAGCACATAACTTTTCAAAATATTCATAGTAATCATATTTGTTAGCCCCCCCCCAGCTGCAGGGCGGGCTGTACGCATTCAACTTTCGCCCTGGAACCCTGCTGTACGACCTTCATCGACTGAGTAATCCGCCATACAGTGTTGGCGAACTCAGTGCTTAAATTATTTGAACTCTATTAGTGACTAGGTGCAGCTCCGGATGACATCCAGACTTTCGCTCTTGTCTCATGGTACTAGACTTGAATCTTGACATTATATCAAACAAAGGCAATCATTGAAACAAACTAAAGCTGGCTGATCACTTCGGTTATGAAATTTATGCGTTTGATAACAGGAGAAGTGCTGATCGACCCGTTAGCGTCCCCATCGAGGACCGAATTTGTGCGTTATTCCCTGGACTTCGCAGAGAAGGCGAAATGTATGGAAGGGCCTATGAGGATTTTAGCAACAATATCAAAGGCCGCATGCCAAAACAGTTTTACACGATCTGCCTTTTTCCTTTAAAGATACAACGTTAACTGGAAGTCGACATAACAAGGGCACACCCTAGACGGTGCGTGAGGTCCCTGTCTCCCGAATGCAGACCAGAAGGTCGCGTAGCGGATTGGTCATTGCTGTCAAACAGTTCTCGTACACTTCTATGGGAGAACAGCTCACAGCAGGTTTTTTGTTGCTTTGCAGTTTCGCTATGATGTTCGAGGTCTTCGTTGAGGGTGAATCAAATTCACAGTTATGCGTGGCTGTTTGTCCATCTTAGACCTTGAGGCTAAGTCTGCTAGATCCGGAGACTAGACAAAGTACTCTTTTTACCAGGATATATTATATGCTTGTGAGGATTGTCACGACCATATCTATTTAAATCAACATATCTAATTTCTTTGACAAGGCACCGCTTTTCTACAAACTGTTACTCGTTGGCTTCAACATCGCACATTTCTGCATTCAAACGAGTTCTCCCTTTTCCGAAACTGTTTATGGTTTTGACTTCAGAGAAATTGAGTGCGATTTGGAAACGCCTATCAAATATTAACAACGGGCTTTATATCTTTGATTTGCACTTTATGCGGCTGCGATCATACCTGACCTAGTCGGCCTCGATATCATGGATAGATCTTTTCCACACCCGGAGCTTGATAGCAGCTGACCCGGTTGGTTCGACCCCATTTTACCTCAGTCGACTACAACCGAATACCGAATGTCCAAGAAACTCCTCCATTTCTTGACGGACCGTATCATGCCCACCCGTGGACTGTCCTTGTATTCGCACCCTTAAGTTAGGCGACGGGCGACAACGAACGTATTCTAACAAGTTTGTCCATCTTTCTTGGACGAATTAGGACACCTTTGCGTTGAGCAATAACTATCTCATGCGAAGCGGGGTTAGTGTAATTTGCCCGAATGATCAACGCCAGGCAACGGCTGTCAAACACACTCCCAGTTTTAGCCTGTCGTTTGGACGCGCAGCCCAGCTTTCACAACTGTGCAGGAGGACTGTGCGGACGAACACTCGGTACATACGGGTTTCGTGGCGCTTGAATTATCACGACGCGTACATTGACACATTTGTAGAATCGTAAAAACTCTACTGACAACATGATCCCGACACTGGTGCCGGCCATAATCCGTCCGATTGGCGGATACTTAATCCCAAAATGTTTGAAATTGTCCGTGTTTCGGCTGACGGCGATTACTCATGAGGCTGCATTCTGACCAGAGATGCAGGTCGATGATACTTGGGTCTTGACAGCACTGATAGATTAACCGACTGGGCTAATGCCCATGTTTGCCCGTGGTATTCTGCGTCGCAGGCCACAATAGACCAGACTGTGGCCGTACAATATCGTTAGCGTAGGTGTAGCCAGTCTGTCGATGTCCGGATTACAAATTTGGCATCACCGACTCCGCGTTTGCCCCCTCCATCAATCCAGTCAATATCGTAGTTCAGTAGGGTTAGCGGCAGTATGCGAACTTGTTAGCCAAATTAGTGTTATTTTCTAGTTGAAAGCCCATTTAAAATTTTCGGTCCGTATTTCGTGAGTTTTGGTGTATTCTGTACGTGGCCGCCAATCATGTTAAAATATGCCTTTGGTATTTACGATTAAGTCGTCAGCTATTGCCTGTGCTCGCATTTGCTTCTGTTGTTTCAGCACTTCTTTCTCCTGCTTGTCTGTCGTCTTGAGCAGTCTTCTTTTGTATCCACACAGATTCTGAAGCAATCGACGAAATCCCTCTGGGAGCGAAATTTCGAACTGGCTTTTATATCTGTAGTGTTTGCCAGCTCAGGACAACTAATAACTGAGGGAGATGTTCTCCGAAGCAAAGGGTTCTTCTACGGATTTGATTGGCTAGTATGGATCGTTATTTTGTTGCAGTCTGGTGGTGGAATAGTTGTCGCCTTGGTCGTGAAGTACGCGGACAACATTCTTAAGGCAAGTCTCTTATCAATTTCAGGTTTTAATCCTTATTTATCTGGTGTAAAAGCAACAGAAGTTGTTCCGAAGATTCACCAAAATGCACGCCAGACTTGTCATATTAATCTCTGAGATTTCTATGCAACTTAAAGTGTGCTTGTCCGTTCTTGTTACTTGCACTTGCTTTGTACTGCCACGACCAGACCTGGTTCAGCCAGTCTTGGCGGTGTCATATAGGTCCCGTCTTCGTGCATAGTAACTATTTACGGCGGATCTGCGCAACCTGAGCTGTCCCGTCGCATCTGCGGACACTGAATATCGAGGGTCTGAGAGTTAGTTCGGTCTCCTGTCAGACTGTGTCAAACTAGGTTTTGTACTGGCCGCCCCATTTCTCATGCGGTGCGATTGCGTCGAATTTAGGACATTAGCACTAAACTCAAGGGCTGGACGACGGAGACTATGTCAGGCTTCGTTATTCTGATGGTCACGAATGCGAAAAGTCAGTACGGCACTTGTTGCCCAAACAACCAGAGTTATGGGCAGGACGCAGACCCGACAAACAGCGGAATTCACGCTTTCGCCTTCATCGCACAGTGAAAGCATGCTTGCACTAATTTTGATTTTTCAGTTGTCAAAATGGTGTCTGCGTTGTTGGAGTTGGACTCTTCAGCAGGACCAGACACGTTGAGAGCTGTTTTCAGTCGTCGGGACCCTGTCGTTGGTGATGGAACTTATCCTGTATCAAATTTTCTCATTTAAAAGGTCAAGTCGGCAAATGCATGCTTTTGATAACTCATCATCGGGCCAATACAGTTACATTGAAATTGAAATATGACACGCTCGCAGGGTTTACAAACGTCTCAGGGGTTATTAACACTCACCGTTCTCACGCCATTCGCCTAACGAGGTCGGCTTGCTATGACCATCAGAGAAAGGAGGGTGACAGTCTGTGTGTGATGTTTGCAAGTCGCGTACGTGGAGTACACAGCACTGTCATCAGGGGATTGAGGTTGCGTGCAATAACCATCTGGGGTCGGCGTTGTCCATGAAGGACAGAATGCCTGTGTCAACGTCTTCTGCCTTGTCTGTAGCTAGCACCCGTTGGCATAGGCCTCTGGAGAAGTTTGCTGATTTCTTGTAGACAACCTGGCCCCTTTGAAATCGACTCGGGGATTCACATCGACAAGATGTGCGTGAATAGAACTCGAAATTGACCTGTTTTACCTGTGCCTAGTCAGGCCAGTATGGGTTCACGTAATCTCTTCCAGGCATCTCGTTGCAAGGCTAATGTATCGCGGTCCACGGAAGCAAGGGAATGACCAAATACACATCAATGTGGCCTGCAATGGTAGTCCGTCTTTACTCCCCCCCCCCCTCCCAAGCGTAGGAGGGGAGAGTTTATGGAACGTTAATGATCGCTGTCTTTAGACGTCTTATTAGTTCTCTTGCTGCGACCTCTGAACAGACAGTCTTATAAACAAGCCTTCCACTTCTGTAGTTGCTGTAGTAGGCTTTACAGCGCGCTCCCTAATATTCCGGAGGATAAACCCCTTTCGCAAAGCACCAAAATGACGTCTTGAAGAAAGTCCGACCGGGAAAATCCGTTACGACGCCTATACTGAGTTCCGTCTGTGGCAGCACCTTCGTAGAGTAGAATTTAAGGATGCAGAGTTAAACTGACTGTTATTTTCGGGAGAGAACGTAAAAGTGGTTGGCAACAAGTACAAGCAGGAGTAAGGGCACTGGGTGACTACTGTCTGAAGGCTCCGTTAAGTGCGATCGGTCCGTTTGTGTTCGGATGTTCGCCACGGTCACGCTGGTCTTTCAGCCTGCGTGCTCATACACGTAGTAAAGTGTGTGCACAGCCAGGACCCTCTTATGCCACCCGCTACTGACGATGCTCTTGATAACCGCATAGTTCCAGCGATTAAGCTACCAAGTTAGCATCGATTGTGTAGTCTCTCTCGGGACAACGTTGCCTTCTTTGCTTCACACATTACGCGTGTTTGCGGAGTTGATACTTGGCCTACTCTGAGGCCAATGATTCTTCTAAAAGGACGGCTACCCTTTTTCCGCTATCTTCATTGGTAATCTGCGACTAGTCATTCCCCATACCTGAGTCGTTTTATAAATGCTGTGCAAAGTCCCACTTGGCAAGAAGAAGGGATAATTTAAGCCCCTGATGTCTTGAAAGTTGGCTCCCAACTTTGACTTCCGCGAGTACCTGTGCTACTGACATCTGAAAGTGTGATCGAGGACATCCCTCTGGATGCAATTTAGTATCCTTTAGGGTAACTCTCCGTGCTTTCGTTTGAAGTATTTCTGCCCAACGGATCATCCCGATATCGAATAAATGATTTAATTACTTGCACATTCGTAAAAGCATCCGTCCCCTCGTCTTCCAACGTCTGACTATACTCCCTGTTTCTCCTTTGTAGGGCTTTGCTTGCTCCGCGTCAATTATCATCTCCTGCTTCATTTCTGTTTTCTTCATGGGAATGCAGCTGTCGATCGCATTTGTCTTGGGTGCTGTCTGCGTTGTCGTCTCAGTTCTGGTCTATTCTTCCTTTCCCCCTCGCCCCTAAGCAAGGCCGTTGCTGCAGCATAGTTCATTTTTATGACAATCCACGCCCGCAGCGCCCATTGTACTGGGGGTTGTTGAAGGAGATGACAGGACGTTGTCAACCTTCTCACTTCTTATAGCACCTCGTTTATTGCCTTTAACGTCTGCATATTGTTTATTCCGATGAAGCATCTGCTTCGCGAGACCACGCCTTGTTAAGCCATTTTAGCTTGTCATATCAACGTTGACGGAGAAGCTTCATCTTCACAAGCATAGCCAGATTTGCGCTAACTTTACCATGTATGCACAAAGAAAGTTTCCGGTTTTACTGACTGGTTATTTTAAAACTCGTTGCTGGATTTTTATTCTGTTGTCACCTGATATAGTCCATGGTCAGACGTTAGGGACCAGGCTAACTGGAAAACCAATGTGCGCCTTCCTGTTCATGTTCGTTCTCATTTGCTGTTCAGACTCTTGACGATCTCAGACCGGTTCTTGGTGATGCGTTTTAATGCCACTCCGGATTGGGAGTTCAGTCTTTCTACTCATCCAGCCAGAGAGGGGAACTTTTTGCTGTATATTTTGATTATAACGGGTTAGTGCGACGAGAGTCGGCCGTTCTCGAACGCTTTTTCCCAAGTTTTTGCGAAGGCTCTTTTGCTCTTAAATTAGTTCTGATTGTGACCGTGGCCAACGTGAAAATCTCTGCTCAGGCAAAATGTGTTTCTCGGTATCTCTACCTCCTGGGGCCCGCTGGTGGGGAGTGAAACAATAATTAGTAATCTACCCTTCTTTACCTTGTTTGGATCCATCTACGTTTGGTCCGAGCGGAAATCGTCGCTGCTCCATAACTTCATGAAAAGTCATAAAGTGCACGTGTTTCCTGTGTGGTAGTCTTGCTTCCGGTGTGATGTCTGTTTGGCCGTCTCTATTCGCATGCGCCGTCTCTAATTTTCTGTGAAATAATTCCTACTTAAATGATTATTAGTAAGCATATATTTGTGAGAACGACAGTCGGCCAATCATAGGACGAGAGACGTACTAAGTAAACAAGTTAGGCCAAGAACGCATATGGAAAGCTTTGCAGAACCCCTCACTGAGCAGATTCCCTCGAAGTTACGCTACGCAGCCGCTGGACAAGAAAGGGGTTCTTGTCTTGTTTTTTTCCAATAGTTGTGGTAGGATTATTGTGAAACAGCTTTACGTATAATTTATGTATTTTAGGGAACCGGACCCTGCCCAGTATACTGATGGAAAGTAAAAAAGATTTAGGGAAATGTCATGGAATTTCACTCCAAATGTTGGCTGCGTGAGTCACCTCAGCCAAGTTACTTTTCTCAAAAGCTGTATCGCGCATGCCTTCCCATGCATGTTGCAAATACGCGTTTATACATACTTGACAGCGCAGGTACTAGCTAGAGGCCCAATCGCGTGTTCCAACGAGATTCTGCCGCTACATGATGCGACTGTGAGGTGTTCGGCTCATCAGTGGACCCTGTAGCGTTCCTGTGTGCTTTCTAGTTTATACTGCGCCTCCAAGAAAACAACTTTCCAATTTCGCCAGAAATTAATCGCCAACTTGGTGTAAATCAGTTTACTTAAGATTTGTAAATCGAAACTGAACTTTACTATGGATAAAAAGGCGGAAGTCCACGTTGTTTGCCTAGTTTTTTTAGGTTGGCGAACGCACTGTCGATGAAAGTAATTGCCATAGTTCGCACTTTAACCGTAAGAATTGGAGTGGCTGACGTGTACCGCATTGAAGACGCTGGCGGTTAGCCCGATAAGGTCTATCTGCTAGTGTAGTGTCGTGCATTCTGCAATATGCGCTACGCCGAATTGTTTGGTGTGAGATAGCTTCGCTTGGTTTAGTCTTCAGCCTTCATCAAAACCATGCTTTTGTTCCAACCAGAAAGTTGCTTGGATTTTTCAATTCTCTTCGTTGGATCATTTCCGGTTAACATGTATGCCCAAAAAATCCCGCTTTATCCCATAGACAAACTAGGTCATATCACCACCTACCATTTTGTCAAAGCCTGCGTCGCGACATCACTGCGCCTACTTTGCCCAGAATAGCCATTTCCTCTGCCCAAAGATGATGTCTTAATGCACGTGTGGGTGTGTCTTATGTCTCCGGAAATCTACTACGACCAGTCTTTGCGGCCTTATGAATATTTTATCGATGGTAATTTTCCATAACCCACGACCGATTGGTCTTCTCCGTTTGTTTTTTCCACAAGTGGGATACTAATAAAGATGCGCTTGGCTGTAGGCAAGTGAGATTTCATATCTAAGTCACTGATTTGTGGGTTTGCGTCAAGTAACCTGAACACAATCCATGCTAGAACACTGCTCAAGAATATTGGGATTTGTTTTCCTCAATAAAAATAATGGTTGTATTGTTTCCCTCAGTCTTCAATAAAGACGACACCGTTTGTTTAACGGGAAGATTTTACGTTGCAATAGGATGAGGACTGGTAGAGGGTTTATTACTAGTGCGTTTCTAATTGTTACCTCAGTCGACGTAGTTGTTCGATCTAGAGGAAGACGTTTCGCTCTGTCTCTGGTGATGGATCCGCGTGCGGATTCGAGAAATCCTAAGAGTCAGGGCAAGTCTCCGGTTTTGGCTCTACTGTGGATTGAGTTTGCAGAAGAGATCGCCAGCAAGTAAAGCGTCAACAAAAGACGGTCAAGTTGTGAACCGTCTATGTTTTGAGGTCTCACCATGTTCAAAGGCTCCAGTTCGAGTCGCCAAAGCGATCCCAGCAGCCATTCGTATTCGAGTTGCCAAGAAATAAAGTCTGCGTGCAGCCTAATTGGGCTCTAATGAGTGGTCAAAAGACTGGTTTCTAGTATTAGGCACATGAGGCTACAAAATGGAAATAACCGTCTGGATCGGAGTCTTCCATCAAACGCCATTCGTGCCCGCTGAGGCGTGTAGCTATACATGTGCGCAGATCTTCACTTATCAAAATTATCAGGCCAGTATGGTTATTGCTGGGAATTGTCAAAGGCGCACGTCTTGGCGCATACAGACACTTTTTAAGCATACTTATAAATCGTCCATCCTTGCCGATTGCTTGGAAAATTCTACTCGTCCTGCGGTGATTCAAATTTACAGTGGTTCTGTCAAACCGTGAGCCGTTCGAATGGGAATCGACAAAGTGTTTCTCTCCCACCTCAATGTCAAGCCAACTTCGTTCGGTAGTCTCCGTTTTCTCATAGCTTTGGTCTGGAAGGGGATTTCACCAATAACGGAGCGCATTTGGCCGTAAGTGCAGTCGAAATAGCATGATGATAGCCGTTTCGCAAGTGGCTTTGTATCAGATGTAGGTAGACCTGGTTTTCAGACCTTACTTGGTGTTCGTATTGCTTAATAACTTTCAAGGAGGGACACAATCTGCTTTGAAATATTCCCAGTGACATTTTATTCTTCAGAAATTTCATTGTTCGCCTACCGGGAGTTCTCTATATGCTCCAAGCGTAGGTGGGCTGGGCCGTCCACTAGCATTTCCTCTTTGGGATCAAAGCACTACTGGGCTTATGAAGCTCACTACCATGGAGACGGATTGTGGACAAGGACAAAAGAGACTGAAATGGCCCCCTCTGACTTATTTGCCCTCGCACAGCTGCAGGGGGTAGCGCAGTTTTCGATTTGTAATTTAACGTCGCCCATCTACCAATCTGGTTCTAGCGCTCAATCCTTCCGCGCGCCCAACTTCGTCAGTAAACAAATCATATTAACTAGTGGCTACAAAGAAGACATACAATATGTCTAACAGAAAACATCGTTGAATCAGTGGCATTAGACGAAAGTTCCAAATTTTACTGGACGCAACAATAGGTCAAGCGAAACTTCCGGTCACCGTTAATGATTACTTTTTTTTAAAGCCAACACAATATTCTCTGCCCAGCAGGCGACAACGTTATCAGGTCCGGTGGCAATCAGTGCGTAGGAGGAGGGAAAGGCCAATTGAAAGAGGCATGCAGGCTGGAAATACTCCCAGTGTTGGGGCGGTGTACCTGTCTCTCGGAGGCTTAACAAAAAATCAGTCTGGATTACCTAGCACATTAAAATACCAGAAGGCAGACGGTGAGGGACTCAAATGTCTGCGTTCTCCAGGCTGCAGGCTAATAGATTTGAATTAGTAATTTTGGTAACTGAAGACCACGCATGGTTCAGCAGCAAACAGTTTGTGCGAAATCGATTGCCTCTATCCCTCACACGTTTCAGCTTGTACCTCGTTGCCTTTTAAATGGAGAGGCCCGAGGAGAATTTATCGAAAGCACGCGTATGCTGCTAGCCAAATGCCCTTCTGAATTGTTCTAAATTGTAGGAGGTTAAACTAGGAATAACTAGATTGAGCATTCAAATGGAACTTTTTAGTGGGTTACTCTGTAGGAAGGCTAACATATTAAGATGTTGATAGAAGCGAGCTGGCGAGTTCCAGGTAGCAGTTCAGAAGAAGATCACTGGATCACTGGACCAGTGATCACATCTTCGTCTTCTGAATATTAAGATGTGATTGCCGACAAAGATAAGGGAGACTGGGATGCCAGTTTTTTGATTTATTAATCGTCGTCATGCAGCCTTATGTGGCCGCAGGTTTGGCGGTATCTGAGGACCAAACCCGCGTTATTCTGGTTATTAAGTTCTGATCACCGAGCCACAGAATCGTTGTCCTATCGGTTGCGATCAGAAATGTTAAGTATGTTGGAGGTGTGTTGACCGCTCGGGTTAGGGGAGGCGTTCGTCCCGTGGCCCAGTAGTTAGGGCGCTGAGCTTACTAACGCCTATTAACCAAAAGAACGTGGGACCAATCCTTTGGTGCTCCCAAACCTGGGGTTGGGTATGGCTGGCTGACGACGACGACGACGACTAATAAACCAGAAATGACCATCCCAGTCCCCCTGGTCTTTTTCGGTAATTTCATTCTACCTATATTACCAGCTATTGTGTGCTGACTGTGGGAGTTTTGATGGAACCCCAAGACACTATAGGACGAGTACGTCCCGTAGCCC